CTGGTTCTCTTGTTGCTGCTGATAGTTCAGTGGCCTTCTGAAGAGCATGATATGGGGCTCTGGTCGATGAATAGCATAGTGCACCCATCCTCTGCTCTGCTGAACTCCAATTGCCCGCCACTCATTTTCAGATAGAAGACGATTCTTATGAAGCAATTTCGCTACACCAGGAGGAAGAACAACATGCCTGTACTCATAGGTATCATCAAAATACTTTTCAGAATACTGGATCTGCCCCATTTTTCAGTTCAAAAACAACTTTGTGTTGTGACGATCAGAGAAATGGAGACGAAAAAAAGAGAAATGGATGGAAAATGAATCCCTTTTATTTAGTTAGTTCTTGTTGATTGTATGTTTGTTTTTGCCTTCCTACCGACTTAACCATCATTGCCTCATAAAAAATTGGCAATGATGAATTTTCATCTACTTCACCATTTAGCAAATAGTTTATGCTTCAATTAGCTATCGATGCATCTTTAACCACTTGCAATGTACCAGCAGCTGGTTTAAACACTACTGTGATAGCTAAATCGAATTTCTCACTTGCACCTCTATTTTGAGATAGTCTCGATACCATTATTGACCTCACCAAAGTATGTTGAGCTTTTCTTCAAGTTAGCAATAATCGTGAAGCTTATGAAAATTCCCTAAAACATTCTAATAGAAGTTGCACAGACCTCACCTATGTAGAAGAGGAAAAGGTCACCAGTAAAACAAGTCCAAGTAACATATGTAGACATGTTTCTGGAAAGTTGAAGTTTTGAATTTGTAGTTTCAAGTGCATTTTCTGTTAGTTCTTCGTATCGCGGTTCCAAGCGATTACACTCTTGGAGTTCAATATGACGAATCCATCAAATGTTATGATTGATGCATCAAAAAGCTTTTCTAATAATTTTCTTATGTTATTGTAGCTTGTTGATGTTTCTGGAGAATTGATGAATTGTACACTTTTGCGGTGAGCGCTTTAACTATTTCTAGTGTAAGTTTACATATATTATTATATA